AAAAGAAAATATTGAAAAGACAAATGGAAATAATAAAACATAAATTAAACTTAACAGAATCAGAAAAATTGGCACAACAAACAGCAAAGCAAAACTTTTTTGAAAATGCAAACAAACCAGGAAGATAGTTAGCTTATAAATTTAAAAAACAGAAGGCGAAAAAATTGATAAACAATTTAGTAGTTGAAAAAGGCTGTTTACAATTTAAAAATGAAGCAATAAAAAAGATAATTAAAGAATACTATGAGAAACTGTAAGACAAGGAAGAAACTCCATGGGAGAAAATGACTCAATACATGGAAGAAAATAATTTACCAAAAAAATCCAGAAAACTTTAAGACTATATTAAATGAAAAAATAACAATGATGGAATTGACAGAGGCAATAAAAAGACAAAAAAATGAAAAAACACTGGGACCAGATGGACTCCGGGCAGAGTTTTATAAATGTTTACAAGATATATTAAGTTCACCATTGAAAAATGTGGAGGCAAAACTCCCAAATACATGGACAGAAGCCAATGACCCAGATTAAAAACTATAGACCGATATCACTACTGAATGTGGACTATAAAATCTTCACTTCAATAATAGGTGAGAGGCTGAAAAGATTTTTGATTGATTTTATACACCCAGATCAAAATGGATTTTTGCCAAAGAGACAAATAAAAAATAATTTGAGGGTAATATTAGATATATTGGAATATTAAGAACTTCATCCAGGGAAACAACTGGCACTAGTATTTTTAGGCATTTGATAATGTTTCTTGGCAATTTATGATTCAACAACTAAAAACAATGGACTTTGGTCAAAACTTTATAAATATTATTCAGACAATATATCAGAAACAATCAGCAAAAGTAATTGTAAATGGGGATTACACAGAGAATTTTGATATTTATTTATTTTATTTACATAAACTTATATACGAAAAGGCACAAGACAAGAATGTCCATTATCCCCATTGCTATTTATCTTAACTTTGGAAGTTTTAAATAGAAACATTAGGCAAGATCCAGAAATTAAAGGATTGAAAATAAAAGGTGAAACCTACAAACTGCAAGCATTTGCAGATGATTTGGTATTCATTCTAGAGGAACCTTTAGAGACGATTCCTAAACTGTTGGAAAAGATAGAACAATTTGGAAAGATAGCAGGATTAAAGATAAACAGAAAAAAAAACTAAAGTGACAGTTAAAAATGTTACAAATAAACAAAAAAAGCAATTATCAGAAAAAATAGAATGGCAAAAAGGTCAAATGTTTAGAAATATATTTGATAGCAAGATGTTCAACAATAAAAGGAGATAATTACATTAAATTGTTAAACCAAATATAACAACTAAATATAAAGTCTGAGTTATTTAAAGTTGTAAAATTCAGCATTAACATGGAGACGATTAAAATTAAATATAGACAAATAAATAAACAGACTGCAGTTACAAGAATAAATCTTTGAGAAAGTCTAAATACCAGGGGTAGGCAACCTTGGCTTTGAATTGCTGGCTCAGAAATTCTGGGAGTTGAAGTCCACGAGTCATAAAAGAGCCAAGGTTGCCTACCCCTGGTCTATACTATCTGCAATGACTACATTTCACAGAATGTCTGACTCACAATAGACCCACCAAATGGAAAAAAAAATAGCAAAGTGCATTAATATCTGCATAGATTGAGTATAAATTCAAGATAAATAATAAACTGAAACTAACTTTTTATCTAACACAAATTATTGCAGGCTAATCTAATTAAAACATGGATTGCATCTAGGCTAAATAATGAACTTAACAATGTTACAGTAAATTCTGTGATGCATTGTGGCTATTCTTTGCAATCAGAAGTGCTTAACTGCAAAGCTATTGTTTTAAATGATTTAACAATGCTTTGGGAGATATTTCTCATGTTCAACAGATTTGTATCTAAACTAGTCAAGGGTGGAACTTCACTAAAGAAATTATGGTACTTGTGGAAGTTGGAATCTGTTTTGTTACTTTCTTCTTCTTCTTCTACAACAGACATGTCAAACACAAGGCCCGGGGGCCGGATGCGGCCCGCAAAGTGGTTTCATGTGGCCTGCGAAGCCATCCTGGAAACAGTGAGGGAACCGCCCCCGCTGCCTTGGTCCTGGCCCAGGCCAGCCGGGAGCCAATGTACAATTTTGTGGTGGCCATCTATGCTGAAATGCATTCAGTCTTAGCTCCACAAGGCCGTCTAGAAACAGTGAGGAACCAGCCCCTGCCGTGTTGGCCCAACCCCCTAAGTGCATGCTGGGGAGGTGTCACCCTTTGTGAGGAATGAAGAAATGGACCATGGCTTG